AAAGAAAATCTTTATTGCATTTTTGAAATCTCAACAAAAATATTCATCCCCAAACTATACATTGCGTTCATTAAACGAGAAAGGACTTGAATCTTTAAATTTAAAGTTATAAATTTAAGTCGTAAATTTAAATTTATAGATGAATGTTTGGGAAATAACGTTCGTTTAAAGGTTCAGCAAAAGCAAAGTAACTTCTTTAGAGCGATCAAATTGACATGTAGGCTCACTAGTACATCAAGTGCTTTTTTATAATAAGTAAATAATATCACGAGCAATATAGGAACGTGCGTGCGTGCGTGCGTGCGTGCGTGTGTGTGTGTGTGTGTGTGTGTGTGTGTGTGTGTGTATGTGTGTGTGTCGTAAATACTCGGTAAATATAAAATTGCAACTATTTTGGTAAGGCAGACATATTCGTAATATGTACATGTATGTTGATATCTATAAAACTTTCCAAGTAATGTAGTTGATTGTAATAAAAGCTAAATGTTAATTTATATATATCAGCATTATTTAAGAAATATATTTTTCAAATACTTGTTTCTCTCTCTCTTTCTGTCCCCCCTCTCTTTTTCTCTCTCTCTCATTCTCGACTTTATACAAAATCGACAAGTATCAATAATTTATCATATAGACTATTAAAATTAAAAAGAGAATATTTTGAAAGTGAAATATATCAAATTCTTCAGAATTTTTCTAGTGAGGACAAGTCATTGCCAATGATATGATCAAATTCTCGTTAGGTAAAGATTCGATTCCTGTCAACAGTTAATTCTTTCTCTGCAATAAAGACTGCAAATCTTTTGCAACGAGCTAGTAAACTCAAAAAGAATTATGAATATGGCAAAATATTAATTGGAATTTAATTTTCAATCGTAAAATTGCTTATGTAAAATGTTACAACAAATTTCTTAAATTACGTTGTTTACGTAAACCAAAAAATAATATTAGTAAATTAAAATGACATAAATTAAATATTGATTAAGCCTTTTTAAACAAATTATTAATTTTGTAATCCTTAATCTAGATTCATATAAATCTTTATTTTCACATAGAAGAAAAAGGCACAACATATTGTACTAAAAATTAAATAAAGTATTAGTATAAGATTTATTTAATAATTTATTTGTAAAAAATTGATATAATCTGATAATCACTTATAGATAAATTAAATAGCTTTTTACAATATATAACAGGTTTGCCTGTCGCGAGAAGCTTTTGTGGAGTGTACACTTCCGATGGTATTTGAGACAGAAAAGGAGAGTAGTCTGACCACGCCTGGCCGTCATGGATGACCTTGAAGGATATCATCATGCCCTTCCCTATCCTATATTAATGCATGGTCGTGCAACAAAGCTCCATTGGTTCGTGGCAACCGACCGAAGAAAGAAACGGAAAAAGAAGAAATCCCAACTTAGCGCGCGTTTGTTTTCCGCTTGACACAAGGTGACGCCCTCTTTGAAGGTGCGCTAAGAAAGCGCAAAAGAGAGGTCGAGGAAGGGAGATGGAGCAAAGAGCTCGGCCAAGAGAATTCTTGCTCCTATATAAGACGTGGTACGTCGTATTTTGGAGTATTATCGTACTGACTGCAAGCCAGACATACACGAGCTCCAACATGTTCAAACTGGTAAGTCAACTGAGATTTCAGCAAGATCTAGCACTGTATCTTTCGCGATGCCTGTGTTTTTCCATCGAGAAGATTGAGTCGATCGGCTGATATCTGCTAATTTTGTGTTTTTCTTTTACGGGATACACGATATGTTTCCTTAAGTCCACAAACACAAGTCATAGTAGTAAATATTGTTTCATGGTTTGTCTCGTCATGCACTTTTCGATCTAAGAATAAATAGGAAATGTCTTCTTGATGAGGAAAATCAGTTTATATAGATAGCTTTAAGATTTTTTACATGTTTTCAATGTTTTCATACACTTGTGCAATACGCAGACAACTTTTGTTTCGTATATTTGTTTCGTTTCACCAAACTGTTGTAAATTTATATATGCTGTTGAAAGCCGTCGCGACAAAATTTTATGTATCGCCAGATATACGTCATTTTATTTCAGTTATTTAGAAAAAAATGGAAGAAAAAGAAACATAAAACATAGAAAACATAAAATCCATAAAAATGAATTTACCAGCTTTATAAAATCGGATCTACTGAAAGTTAATAAGTGTAAAGCATTTATCACAGCTTGGCTACATTTTTTCCTATAAAATAAAATTTGGTATTGCGCAAGAAAGAGCTTTGAGGGAGGAAAAGAAATAGCTATTATCTCATGTACGATGTAATGATATCGTATCGACGAATTGATAATCATTGATAATCGCTGCATTAAAAATTATAATTGTTGCAGTTATGTCTGTTTGCCTTTTTGGCATTCGCCGTGGCTGCGCCCGCACCCGCACCCGCACCCGCACCAGCACCCGGTGCAATCATCGGCGCCCCGCTTGTGACATCCTATAGTGCTCCCATCGTTTCCGCGCCGTTAGCTTATAGCGCGTATAGCCTACCGACTTATAGCGCGTATTCAGCGATTCCAGCCTTACCATACGCATATAAGAGTTACGCGGCCTATGTGGCCTAATCACACACGTCGCTAGATATCAGAGGACCAGGCATCAGAGATTAAGGACCAATTTCCACGAATACACTTCACACAAATTAATCAACGCTCGCGAAATTTTTTTCAAAAGACCTAATCACGGAGTTATTCCTCCACGGTTCATTCTCTTCACCCTCCCCCCTTTTCATCTGCGTTCGAATGACTCTACATTTGCATTCCATTAGATCCAGAATCAATAAAGTCGCTTAAAAGCAATTATGCAATATGAATGTTTCTTGAGCCCACCTCCTCTTCCTATAATTTATTTACTTACTATATGAAAAGAATCATCAGGTGAAAATCCATATTGAACTAAATTTACCATACGTTCAAATAAATGATTTGTTATAATCTGTGTATAAAATACATCGAACTTTTTAATATACAAAATAATATATTTCGGATATCAAGGAATATCCGTTTTTAATAAAAAATAAGATATTTTTCATTTTCTAAAACTTGATGTGCAAGAAACATTAGAAAATTACAAAAATTTACTTTTACAAAACTTGTAAAGTGTGGATTGACACAATGTTCCTAAATATATGTGCACAATGTATAGATATCTTGAAAAGAATCATCGATGACGTGTGCAAATGAACACGTCATTGCAGTTACGTTAAATATACATTAATGTAATATTGTATTTCAAGGAATCTTTTGAGACATAGCTCCCACGTGAGACGGAATTAGATGTGTAAATTCGAATAAATAAAATTTATCGAGCATTCTACGTAATTTTTATAGAATGACATAAATGTAATAATAAATTAATAAATTACATTATAAAGAATATACGCTTTTAAATACATTGTATCCATTTAAAAAGTAAAAAAGTAAAAAATATAACTAAATTATAAATACACGAAGAAATGACAATGTATTAAGGGGTTAGTACATCTTGGAGGCCTCAAAATCATACTTTATTTTGGAAGATAATAATTAAAAAACTATACATGATACAAAAAATCTTTTTATATATATTTGTTGCTTGTATTTTGGTGTACAAAATGTCAATATTTTTCATAAGCAAAAACAAAATGACGGCGCTGCAGCACATTCTTTGGAGGCCTGGTTGTGATGAAGGCATCCGCGGTGGACAGCAGAATAGGTGCAAAGTATGCTGTAGCCAAAAAAAAATTTATTTGTATTCTGCATTAAATTTGCTAGAAAAATATCTGGCAGAATTAAAAAATATTGAAAAATGATACATTCATGAAAAAAA